TATAGTATGTATTGGTTTTATGTATATGTAGAGACTTTAATCTTTTTCATAGGAACCGTGACTCGTGAATAGGTAATACCTCCCTCAATTCTCGTGGGAGACCTTGGAATATTTCACTCGTATTTTCTTGAATAATTGCAACACATGAGACAAAAGAAATGAGATCTTTTTCAAAAAAATAAAATGCAATGAAAATATATATCGTCATGATAACACGACTAACCTGTCTTCTACGAAAACCTTGGTTGAAAACTTGAAGATGTCAACAARCAAGTCCACTCCGCCTTGCTCTATAAAGAATCGCTTGTTTGCTGTAGAAGATCCGCTTTTCCATGGTAAAAACAGTTCACATAACCTGATAATGGCATTGTCTATTTCATAATAACAGTGACGATTTATCAATGCAGTATTGCATTTCCACGAGTACATGGTATTGCGTCTGGTATAAAACCCCTTAAATGCTTCAAACTTTGCGATCAGCTGTTTAATGGTTGCAAGATTTCCTATACTGTTGAATTCCACATATAGATGATCATTCTCTCGCAAATAAAGCTGCTTTAACGGCATCTTATCGTCAACCAAAGGTGTTCCATTTAAAAAGGCAGAAATATCACTAGCTGGTACCCCAAGTAGCTGTTGTAAAACCATTTTTAAGCCTGCAATATTTTTATCCTYGAGTGGTTCAAGTGAAAGTGCGATAGAACCTCGTTGTTGGTTCGAAACACTCCAATACTCAACTTTCATATCCATAGAATTTTTATTTCTCTAAAAGAATAGCCATTAAAGATGAACAAAACTATATGCTCAAGTAACTCAAAGTGAGTAATTCTACTGGGGTCACGGAACACGTTTTGTTCACGTGCGACCCTTGGACATTGATTGTCACGGAGCGTTTAACTAAAACCAGATCAGATTCTKTTCGTTTTTCTTTTTGAAATATTATAATTCTGGGACAATATATGTTCTCTTTTTCTTATTTAGCCTGGGAATTGAATTTTCTCGCTCGATTCTAATATCGCGTGACTACACAGGATTGCTGACAAAGCATTCATCCGCTTCCCATCCCTCCCMTCTGTGGGAAAAACGGGCTAGATACTTCCTTGTCACACGAGGACGTGGGGCACGCAATGATGAACGTAATAAATGCATTAGCACTTGTTCAAAAGGGGTTTCCATCGAATTGCATTAAAATAGTGCAGAACTTGCAGGGATTGATTTGAGTTTTTTTGCACGATTCTAATGTCATAAATCTACCATTGAAGAAAGAGTGCGCTGAACAAGAGCCAATGCTTGACTAGCCTTCTAGTGAAACCAAAATACAGAGGGCGTGCTCTGGGAAAGGACATCAAAAGGACTTGGTATTAAAAGACATGTTGAGWCTGCAACAACAGGCTGGCTCATTTTTTCGAAAAAATGAAGTGTTGTAAAATGAAAGGGATTAGGTTCAAAATATTCCTTCAAAATTAAATTATCAAATTGTCATGAATAATTAGACAGCAGCTGGCGGATTAACATTACAAAGATGCCTATTATYTCTGCCCCCAACCTTCGTYATTTGTGATATTTTGATGAATTTTCAATTTAAATGACAATGMGTATGTAGAGACAACATGGTATAGATAAATTAGTCAAATGTTGGTATGTTTACCCAGTGACAACAATAAACACAAGAATTTCAAAATAAGACCATTGCAGTACAATCATATATTATAGTTTGCTCTTAACGCTAACAGACACCAATGATAGCACTCGTATCTTCACCTGTGGYAGAGGGATTTGAAATATATATGAATATCAGTGAAGTGAGTGCATTTATCACTCATAAATATATTCTACCTACACACATCAAACATTTATAATTGTTAAGAGTCCTGCTAATAAGGCTTTAATGCAGGTTTTCATTTCCTGTATTGTTTGTTAGTAATCCTGCCGTGACACGAGATCTGAAAAAGTAAATGATTTTTAGTAAGATAAGGAAAAGATAAGCACTGGATTGTTATAGCTTGGAAAGACAGGAGGGTGTAGGGTGGGGTGGGTAAAAAAATCTAGATGTTTTTATTGGCCAATATTTGCCGCCGCCCCCCCCCCCCCCCCCCCCCCCCCCCCCCCACCCCCATAATTTTTTGTTCTTTATCATGGGATATCACG